CACTGTCCCGCGTGGGTAGATGCCTTCGAGGAGAGTGTTTCGGGTGGAGAATGGGGGTGCAGCGGGTGGTCGGCGTCAGGTGCGAGCTCACGAAGGAGGTGCTCGACAAATTTATTTAATGAGCTAATGAGTTTGTTGGCGGTGGCGATGAGGTCGTGTACATGATTAAGCAAGATTGTCCCCCTTCTGCTGTTCTATTTTCCTCTTATCATCTATAGCAATACTGTAACGATTTCTGTCCTCTTAACTTCCTCCTAGCCCTGGATTGAGAGGTGATGAGCTGGGTGAAGGATGGTGACAAGACTGGTAATGGGCATAAAAGAAAATTCAGACGCGATATCGATGTAATTACCAGTCCTTAGCCGGAGAGAGAATACAACGTGCGAAACACCCTCCCAAACCTCAAGTTGGCATCACACCTGGCCCTCGTCCTCTTCTGACTCAGAAAGAAGGTCCTTGCTTACATCCTTCTGCAGTTTCCTCAGCGAAAGCAGTACGGAGGCGTCGTCCGAGTCGTCTCGGAGACGCATATCGTCGGGATGTGCAGAAATTCTTTTGACGACGTCCTCTAAAATCTTGATTTTCTTAAGTCTACATGAGTAATCTTTCAATTGCTTCTCGGAATCGTTCGCTTCAATTTTTTTCCTCCGCCCCTCGTAACAAGAAGCAATTTTTGAAAGAGAAGTGGCAATGTCCTTAACTCCCTCATCCGGCTGTGACCTTTTCCTGCGTGTTGGTCCTGTCGACCCCCCTTCCCCAACAGTACTACCAACCCTTGATCCTTCATCTCGTCCGGCGCCACCCGGAATCAATTTACAGCATACATTGGAGAAATGCTCTTCCTCGAAAGGGGTTCCTTTGCGAGTACAAACAAACATTACCAGCATGCGTTTCCCGAGTGCGTTTAGCTCACCGCTAGAACTTGAAGGAAGAAAATGGCGAAACCTGTCGGGATCATTCTGCCCAGAAGCGGACCAACGCGTGACGTACTGTGTAAAACTGGCTTTTGCATCGTTAAACTTGTCCTTCAAGAAGGTTGCTGTTCGATGCGCTAATGGATGCAAAGACGAATCTACTCCATCAAGGGTTGCTGTCTTGTTCAGAAAACGCCTTTGCATGGGGTCGTTAAATCTACTTTCCACGATTGTCCAAAAATCTACCCTCGTCACACCTGCATCCAGTTGAGCCCTGGACAATTCTTGTCCCATGGCAATAATCGCACTCTTTGCATCTTCGTCATCTCGAATTGTAATTAAAAGCCGTGCAAACTCATTGATACCGAACGTGGTGCTCTCTGTGCTTTCAGCAATGTTCAGGTTAGCCTGACCACCTGAAGTTAGAGGTTGGATGGTGACATCCCTTCGACTTGAACCATCCACCCTATTAACTTCTGATCGTGCTCGGTCTATGGAAATATTTTTTTCCCTGTAATCATTGGCTTCTGTAGTCGACAGCACCTGGACAAGTTTTTCTTCAGTAGGCACTCGATCAATTGACAACGGATAGTTTTCATCCTTTAGCAGCCTTATTCGCAACCAAGAGTCATATCTCCGTGTTTCTTCATGAGCTGACAGAGTTTCATCCAAGCTCTTACCAGACAAAAGCGAGAGCTGCAAGTGCAGCACCGCTTTGGCTACCAGAGATTCTTTTTTACCGCTTTGACGCCAATCCCAGCTTTTTAAAATGACTCTAAGCCTCTTAACTGGTAGCTGTGAAAGAAAAGCGAACAATCGGGACATATCACTGGCTGTCGATATTCTTACTTGTGCGCTTCGAGGTCCAATGTTGTCATCATCAATGACGACGGCACCGTCACCAACACCTCGCTCTTGAGAATCTGCAGCAGCTGCCAACGCGCTGTTTGTGTTTGTTGGCGAGCTGGATTCTGGCCCCCCATCAACAGATCTTTCAACGATGACGCACTCGTCGCTGTCGAATCGTAGTATGCGCCGTTGAGCAGAAAGTTCGTCAGTGGATGTTCTTGTGGCAGGAAGTGGCTGACCGACACGCTGAAAGCGAGGACTTCTCCTTAGTTGCGGAGATTCTGAACCTTCTGCCATTTTTGCTGTTGCGATAAAAGGTAATAATGAAGGAAACTATTGATAGGCAGGCTGAAGACTGCGTGCTTCAAGGAATCTGTAGGGGATCAGATAATTCGTACAGGAGAGCGAGAACTTCGAAAGACTTTGTCGATTGGGAGTTCTTTTTCGAAGAGGTGCTGGGATTCTACCGCCTTTTTTGACTTGTTTTTTGAATTCAAATGAATCAGAAATGGATCAAGGTCTGTTGGCGATAGCCAATAGGTCTCGACTTTATTGATTTGCAAAAGCTTACTGTGTACTTGTCATGTTAATTATTCTCGTCCATGATCGTCCATATGAAGTGTCATATGTATTAATGAAAACAATAAATGAACCAATCAGGAGCGATATTTGGTCCATTCACGTCCATCCATGCCCGACCACAGAATCCTTAGAGAGGGCCTGATTCCCCGCAGCGACGGCACAACGAAGACACTGACCCGTCTGTACTACCTGACGGGCTTCGCTTTACACTGGACGTATTCCAATCCAACCCAAATAAAATGCAGTGCCAGTCGAACACCTCCCTCTCCGTTTCACTTGCCCGCGTACTGTGTTCACTGCGCACCACAATGCCGTGATGACGCGGGGGTGTGGGAGCAGCGACTGCAGGCTCACAATCAAGGTGTGGAGAGGAGTGGTGTAGTGCGGAGTGAGGATAGGCTGTACCGTTCTCGTTCTATTCGCTGTACTGGACTACTACTCACACCTTTTCATAAGCGCTTCCTCTTTAGATTGGCTTCCTCACAAAGACACCAATCATGGATTGGAAACGCCCCATGCCGCCGCCTTCTCGCAAGAGATTTGATGCCCATGTCACGGCCGAGAGACACTCGTGTGACGGCCAGGCTGCAGCGGCGCTCAGCCATGAAATGTGTTACAGTATGTGCGTGAAGATGCAAGATATGTGCGGTATGCTAGCTTCTGCTGTACATACGTTAAACTGCCAAACTCCGGCACACGTGCATCCGCTGCGCGTTTCGCTGACGTCTGTCCAAGGTTTGGACCCGCGATTTCGGGTTGTTTTTTCATTTTTGCTTTTTGCTTGTTTATTCATGCAGAAACTAAGAAACTTCATGATTCTTCATGAAGAAACGACTTTAGACAATGGTAGCCACGACTTACACGTTACATCTCCATGATGGAGATGGGCTACAGGGACCCTAGGAAGGCATGGGGGATCTCGATTTGGATGGTTGATCGCGATTATCGGTGGGTCACTTGAAGAAGGCCGAAGTGGTGATTTTTTCATTTTGCAGCATTATCTGGCAGTTTTTGCGCGCAATTGCGCGCAAAAACATGATTTAATGAAATCGCGGGTTTGGACTGCAATGTGGTCTTGCAATGTGGTCTACTAGAGGGGTTTATGACGCTAGTTGGGACCGGTTATCCCGACGAACGTGGACTCAAGCGTGACCACAGGTCTGTACTCATGGTCTATGGCGGTCTGACAGGGGGTGCTTTGTTATAATGTACGCCATACAATATATAAATATATAAATGGTACAGTACTCTCGGTAATTTCTTGTAGAGAAGTCAGACTCTCAACCACTCAAGCAACGGAGCAGCGAACATTCTTGGTACTGTAACATTACATGTTGGTTCCCGCATGCCGACAGCAGCGCCCAGAGACTGTAAGACACTCGAGTTTCTCATCCTGACACTGTTGTCACTTGTGTCTAGAAGCCCAGGTCGACTCGCTCTCTAGAACCAATCTTAAATTTGGCGTGTACGGTGGCAAGATATCGGCATTTACCGTGAAATGAACACAACAATTACCGAAAGGCAATTCAGGAGTTTGTTGTACGGTTGACATAACGCGATGCGTGTCGCACTCATATCTACAGTCTACACAGATTTTAGAGCAGTGCAGGTACCAGTCACTGCAGTGCAGATCTCGTCGTGCAGACCACGTATCGCATTGCTGTGCCCGAAGCAGAAACACTTTTCGACAGAGATGCAAACACATTGTAGTTACGTACCCTTCGAGTGCATACCCGCCTGCTGTATCTTTCAGGCTGAGTCTCTAGTGCGATGTCCTATGCCCTCTCTTAGGCCTCGACAGTTCATCGAAGTGGTCATATTGTGCAATATGCCGGTAGTCGCCAGTGCGGGCACAAGGATGGCCAGCCCAAACGCCTACATGTCAGCCAAGATATCATGACGTTTTCGACTACAAAATGACCGACAGAGAAGCGACAGGTGACGGTGAGTAGGAGATATCAGGAGCTCTCCAACGTGTTGCCCGGTAAGATCTATAAAGAATTGTTCCTTACGTAGTGTCAATAATACAAACCCTAACAAATCTAAATCATATATCCAGTGCAGTATGGCAACTAGCCCTACACTCGGCCGTATTCTCTTGAAGGGGACGGGGTTGGAGCATTGTACCATTTCGCGCTTTTCGTTCAACGAAAGGAGCGTGAGGCATTAATTTCAAGGCATGTGCCGGACGCATTCACGCCTGCACATTTCTGATTGTTTTGTCGCTGCAGATATGGAAACGGGGTCCTTCAATTTTCGCAATCTGAGGAAGTTTCGCAATCCGAAGAGTCTTGGCAAGCTCTTCGGCCTGCGGAGCCTTTCATTGGACTAGGGTTTGCTCCTCCATCTGCCACTGGGGTACTGCCACACATCACACGTGTACACTTGTCTAACTCAATGTGACCATCGCATGCTACCTTACCGCGTCTGGATTTTCTCAAAGTAGCCTTATAAGGCGACCCTCCCCCCTGGAATACAGAAGACGAGTTCGTGGAAGCGGAAGGAAGCCGGATCAAACGTATCCAAAATCTTGATGCAGCTGCCAACCAAACCGAACGCCATTTATCCATGCCCAAACAATACTCGTCAGTAACAACGTATTTAGCAAATCTCGTGGAAACCCGACACATAACTCTATGCACGTCCAAGAAAACATTTACAAAAGAGATGGGTGTGCTGGGGTCGGGGCATACCATCAACAAATTGAAACAAAAAAATAGACCTACCCATTGAGCTCACGGACATGGCGTCTAAACGTCTCGTTCCCTAGACTACGTGCTCGACGGAAGTGACTCGGCGGTTGACGGAAGAAACGGTCTCTTCGACAGTGGAGGACACACTTCTACTGGCCTCCGCCCTTGTCGAATGCGCCATAGCCGGCGGAAGGACGTGGTTGTCTGGCGAAGTTGAAGAGCGGAGGTGGTCGTGGTTGTCTGGCGAGGTTGAAGAGCGGTGGAGGTCGCGGTTGTCTGGCGAAGTTGAGGAGCGAAGGGGGTGCGTGGGACAGTTACAACACCAATCAACGACCCATCGGACGAGGTACACGACGTTGACAGTTACGACCATACACAAGGTGAGAAAGGAATAGTTTGATCCCCACGGTAGCTCGTGATTGGGATCGGCAGTCGGCAGGGCTGGAAGGCTAGGCGGTGCGGGTGAGGGCAGCGGCATGGCTTCGGACGAGTGTGCGGTGAGCGAGAGTGTTAGAGTTGCGGCGAGGAGAAAACCGGAGCGGACGAGGCAACGGGACGTGGGGTTAGTGCAGTCGATCATGGCAAACAAGGGTGGTGTTCAGTGGATGGATGGTGCTTGTTGTCGGTTGAGGTTGGACCAGTTGTATCGAGGGCGGTGAGGATGGCAGAGTGGAGACGGAAAAGAAAGAAGCAACTACATTGCTCCGGGTAACTTAAATAGAACGGGTGGGACGGATGATTCGGGTGCCGCGTGTGGGAGGGGGTGCGGAGGGTGGGCGGAGGAAGAATGGTAAGGTAAGAAAGAAATTCCGGACATGGTAGAATCCGCGAAAAACCAAAAATGTACTTATATAAACCCCTATCCACTCTATCCACTCCTATCCACTGTAGGCCCCTGACACCGCTAAAACCCCATATATATGGCGGCCTCACGGCCACGATGTGCGCATCATGCGTCATGCGCAATCGGCCAATCATTGCGCATCATGCGCAATGATTGCCCGACAGGCCGTCAGGCGCACTTCCCCGGCCGCGCGCTGTTGCGAGTGTGTGACAGCAGTGCACAGCACCATCTCAAACTGCACAGAGCCTGCCGACAATGATCAAGCCAACAATAATTGTTGGCTTGATCATTGCGTCGCGAGGGGGGCAGTCTGTCCGGGGGCGTGGCCGAGTTTTCGGGCTTTTGCAAACGCCCCTGCCGCCCCGTTGACAGGTCGCCGCCGCATTCCACGACTGCCAGGGCACGCAACCACACTGTGCCCCCCCCCCAAACCCCCAACCCTCCCCTCACTCCCTACCTCCACCGCAGCACACGCTCGCCTCATTTGTGATTGTCGGCAGACTGCCGTGACTGTAAAATTATTTTACTCGAACTCACTGTAATTAAAATGGCTGACAGTCCCTGTAGCAGCCGGTACACAAGCTTATTGTCTACTGGGTGCCTCATGCTGCGATATGATGCCCTCGGCAAGCCTCGGGGCTCATACTAGTGGGGCCCCTAAGTTGAACATGATTAGAAAAATAAATGTAAAAACAAGAAGCAAGCGGCATCGGAGAAAATTTTTTGACTGTTTGGAAAACTGACAGTCTCCTCGTAAGGGGGGGTGCTGGAGACGTCGGACAAAAACCTCAATATTAAAAGGAAAAAGTACTTGTAATTGTCAAGCAATCACCATTTTTTATGTTTTGCGACGGGGACACTCTCAGCCTGTCGTCCACTGAGACTTGGCGAAAACAACCACGGACACAGAAGAGGAGTGAGAATGAAGCGCGCGGACACTTTTGCACCTCAACCGATAACTAAGATCGGACATCCAAGCAAATAAATAAAAAATAGAAAAGTCCGCCTATTTTGTATTTTTGGGTTGTTGCACACTTATACGTAGAAAGCCGTAAGCAATCGATTGAGATATTTTTTCTTTAATTTCAACCACGTCGTTCTGATATACGGCGCACTATCTGGCGCTGTTACGCGCGGCGGTGCTCCTTGGCCCGTGTCGGAGATATTTTTCAAAATATTTTGCATGTCCGATTTTTTTGTCACTGTCCGACAACACCAGCAACCCCCTTTACCTGCTTTTCTGATCTCAGGAGCCAAAAGGCTCATACATCGGCATGAACGGCGTCTTTCGGTCCGGGTATCGGAGAGGTTGCAACCACAGAAAAAGCACCCATTATTTGCACGGACATTTCACTGGCTGATGCATTTCGAAATTGCAATTTTTAATTCTAATTGCTATTCCGGGACGGTGCAACCTCCTGTGCTGCTTTCTTGAAGATTGCGGCACGCCGAGCGGAAGTTCTCTTCTTCGCAATCTGGCGACGTACCAACAGAGACCTTGGATAAATGGTCGCATCCTTATAATGGTGCACACGGAAAGCAAGCGCTTTCTCCCGTAGCGCTAAGCCCTGTGCTCTAGTCCGCTCCACAGCCTAAGCTGCACGTTGCGCTACATCGCCCTCCTTCTCCTGCCTTACTGCCCGCCTAGCTCTTCCCATAGCGTCCTTGCACCTTGCCAACTCCATCGCGACATCCGTTGTCAGGGTCAACCCAGCCGATGTGTAAACATAACCGCATTGTAGCACGCGCGGTTGTACCCTTAAACTATCCTTGTACACCAAGCGTTTCTTTTCTAGCATTTCCTTGATTTCCGAGACTGTCGCCAAAGATGTGTTATTGATAGAACACTGCGGACGGGGCACGTCGATGAGGGCACCAGCATTGAGTGTCCATAAACCAGATTTCCTAAAACCAGAAGTCACATGTGCTCGCGTGAACGCCTTGCCATATGCCTCTCGCATTAACTTCATATAGTCAATAAAAGGTCTTGTATTCTGGCGTTCGGCTGAAAACGAAGTCACCATCAATTGGACAGCATCTGCGACGTCTGTCCGTTTGACAGGGGAAGCCGTGGCGGGAGTACGAAAGAACAATGACAATGACTTGCTCCTCATCTGGGGATAGGTAGGTGCGTGCTTTTTTTGATTCACCTCTGTGTGCAAATCTGTACTGAAAAGTCGCCAAAGGGAGCCGGGCAAGTCGGGCAGCCTCGCGCTTAGTTGGGCCATTATCAATAGCAATGACGGCTCGGTTGAAGAAGTGCTCTTCCTTCCTCTTGCGACTTGTCTTCTTGGTCATGGTGTGGTGGCCGTGGTGTGAGGAGAAGCGGAATGAGCTCTAATGCCCTAATTTGCACCGAGGTTTCACCAAAGTTTGCTTTCCGATGGCAAAAAGGGCGCCAAGTCGGATTCTGCATGTCAAATTGCGCCATTTGCATTTTTGAACGATTTACGTCATTGTCACTGAACGTTTTTCACTCAAAAGTTGAGTCATTTACCGGTAGAAGCTGAATCACAATAAAATTTGCAATAAAGTTTTTGTTCCAGTGATCGGTGCTCTGTTCGAGAAAGGGGGGCATGTACGGGTATCTGCACTCGGAACGTGTCTGCACTCGTAGCCAGTAGACAACCCTACACGTGTACTTGTTCAACTCCTTTTTGCCGTCAATTGCGTCGCAGCGCGTTTTTCCCGTCGCAATGCGTTTCTCCCGTCTCAGCGCCTTTGTCCCGACGCAGCGCGTTTTCCTGTCACAGCGCGTTTTTCCCGTCGCAGCGCCTTTTTCGCGCGCCGTCGTTCAACCCTTTTTGCCATCGTCCCCTCTTCCCCGCCTGCCCGCCTCTTCTTTACCAAGCTGCCCCGTCGGCCGACCCCAATGCCCTGCTCAAACGCCCCCGCTCCATCTCCGCCATCTCTGCCACCCTCATCTCGCCCCGCCTTCTCCGTACTCCCTCCTTCCCGTCCATCGCAGTCCGGCTCCCGCACCCCCCTCATCACCATCAGTCAACCTTCCCTCTCGTCCGCTGCGATGCCCTCGTCCCAGCAGTCCACGCTCGCTCCCAGCCCGCCTTCCTCCTCCTCTCCCTCCCTATCTCTGCCCTCCGTTCGCCACTTCCCTTGTGATGACCACTGAGCAAAAGGGGAGGTGCCGTTGGCCAACGACGTGAGGGAGGAATGACTGAGAGTCATATCCCTACTGTAGCTCTGAAAAGTACACTACAGTGTCCAATTACTCCGAGGAATTGTCTACCGGCTGACGGGGACATACGCCCCGTGACAGCGGTGACATTAACCGGTTTTGGGGAAAACCGTAATGTTACTGAAAAGGGCTTGGCGGGGTTCAGTGCAGTGCAAAAATTGGAGATGTCCGCACTACTGCCGAAAATGTCTGCACCATAGTGCAGACAATAATCAAGCCAACAATTTTACTGTAATTACAATGGCTGACAGTCGCTGTAGCAGCCGATAGACAAGCATATTGTCGCCTCGATCCCATCGTGCAGACACGCTGTGCGTCGTGCGATATGAGGCCCTCGGCAAGCCTCGGTGCTCATATCTGCACTCGGCGCATGTCTGCACTCGAATCGAGGCGACAACCCCTACTTGTAGTTCCCCTGTTTCGAAACGATTTTCCACCTTAACGCTTTAAGCTGTCCTTCACACGGCACAAACCGTTAGAACTTCAAAGCATTCTGATTGGATCATGGCACAAGAAGCTGTCGAAGTCTTGAAATTTTCGCCGTGCCGCACGGACTATAGTCTACTTCTGATGACTCTGTATACCTCCCTCTAGTCACCGCCCTCAGTCTCTCCTCCGCCATCATTTCTTTTCCTCTCCACGTGCGCCGTCAACCTCTTCTCCTCCCCGTCCCTCCGTTCCAGCGCATTCATTAAATGCTCCACCGAGACGGATTGGGTGTGGGAAGGACGTCGCTTCTTAAGTGCCCGCAGCAATGGAATCAGTGAAAGCCAGGCGGGGATGGCAGGAGTTGAGGTTGCAGAGTGGCAGGTCGGGTGATAGGCGGAGGGGGCGACGACCCAGGACAGGACGGCGGGGTCGACCGAGTCGAAGAAGGTGACGACGTGCAGGGGCAGACGCTGCTAGGCGAGGGCCTTGTACGCGGTCTGGAACAGGTCCTTCATCTCGGCGGCCTCTGCCAGGACGAGGTCCGGCTCCTGCATCATGACCTCCTCCGCCCCTCGCGCCGCCTCCTCCTCCCGCCCCGGTCCTAGCCTTACTCACCCCGCGCAGCCGCAACCTGCGTCTGCAAGCCCCCTCCCGCGCGTCCGCCGCTGCCCACTGCGACTGCCTCCTCCTCTTTCAGTGCACGCAAGACCCCACGCGCGACTGCACCCTGGTCCACGCCTCGCTCACGCACGGCCTCCTCACCAACCCGCTGTCCACCTGACTGCGTCCCCCCGCACCCCTCCCTCGTCCCGACAAGCCCCGCCACAATCCTTAACACCTCCTCCGCACACCGCTAGCACAGCGTCACCCCGCTCCCGCCGTGCTCATAATTCGCCACCACCGTCATCTCCCCCCCCCCGAGCCCCTCTTCCTGCACCTCCATCCTCGCCCCGCCTTCCTTCCGCATAGGTCTGAGCCCCGCCCACGTCCCCAACCGCTCCATCTCCGCCACGCCTGCCACCAGCGTTCTGGCCCTCTGCACTACTTCCTCCGCCTCCTGCCCCGTCGCCTCCTCCGCCCACTCGCCCTTCCGCACGCTGCCGCCCACCGTGTACTCCTCACCAATCCCTATGCCCTTGAGCTCGGCGAGCAGCTGGGCGTAGGCGGCGAGAAGCATGGCCACGACGTCCACGCCGTCCTTATATTGTCCTCCGCCGCGACCCTCTCCACCCGCGCCCCCCTCGCTTGGCACCACGCTCAGGAGGAGCTCTGGAACGTACGTAGTACCTTACTTTTACCTTCCGTCCGCACTGCCCAGGACTCACCACACTGCACGCTCCCACTGCCCACCACCTACTGCCACTTTCCGGCTGAGCTGACGAACAATCGAGCACGCGCTGGTAAAACGTTATCACAATACTCCCGTTCCAGCATTACCGGATGAGGCCGCGGCTTTTTTAGTTGCCATCCTTTGGAAGAGTCTTCGTAGTTTCTCCCTGTAGCCGCAGT